GTGTGTGTGTGTGTGTGTGTGTGTGTGTGTGTGCGTATGTTGCCTTTCATAAATTTTATTTTTTAACATTTTTAACTCCAACATGGCTATAGCTTAATAATTCCAAAATGCTGCAAGAGCTGGTAAAAGTATGTCAGTATTAAATACGTGCTTTCTTTTTGACTTAATTAATCGGTAATGTAAGTTTTGCCTTCAGTGCAAAAATCTGACGTATAACTTACAAAACACCACGTTTTTGTATAGTCATTCAGGACGGGAATGCTCACCTACATATATTGTAGTTATGACACACCAGAACAGGTTTAAAGCAACTCATTTCTGGTATCAGCGTTGGCAACTCAAGTTAAATTAAGCAGTCTAGTGTTACACTTGGTGGGAATGAAAGACGTATGCAATTTCTATAATACTGTTATCACTAAATGACATTATGATGTGGGTCTTTGTAACCAGCACTGAAACAGTAAATATCAAGTGAATCATAGTGCTCACAGGGCTGCCACATCATTACATCTAAGCTACATTCAAAATGAAAGTGTATTAGCTATCTTTTCCTCTTCTTATCTACGCCCCGCATAAACCATGTCCCCTTTTGTTAATGCACCGTCCTTTTTAGTTTTAATTTGTGCCATTTGCAGTGGAGGCGTTCTCTCAAAACAGCTCCCAGATGTGTCTCTGAAAGTCAGTCTGGAAAAAGCCATACACTGTACACAAAGTCTTTTGATAATGTCTGGAAGCGTCATGACAGGACAATACATCATTTCCAACCTCAACTAAGAAATCTCCCATTTTGGTGTGTGTGTGTGTGTGTGGGGGGGGGGGGTTCCTTCAGGCTATACTCTTTTCTGGGACTTGTGCCACAGTGGTTAGAGTGGGACTGAAATCACAGAGAACATACTATACTACATTTGAACCAAATTTCACTTGGATAAACAGCATCACAGGATATAGTTCTTTAGGTTGTTATATAATATATAGCAGTAGTTACAAGTGTGCCACTGCATGTGTAGACTAAAGTGTGTAATAAGTCACAAAGAACATATGTGCAAAACAAGGTTGCCACCTCTTAGTGATGAGGAATCTTATATACAGCATTACTATGCTGTAACACTGTGTTTTGTTATTCATGCATTCACTCTATTGAAAGAAATGATTGTGTAGTAAACTTAGGGTCTCTTTAGAAATGTAATAGCTCTTTGGATTCATACTTTTTTCTAAAACAAATAATACTTCCCTCCCTTCTTGTTATCATTCATTTAGAATCCAGGAAAGCTTCTGCAATGAGAAAAATCTTGAATAAACTTTAATTACTATTCACTGTTTGCATTTTTATTCAAAACATGGAACACACAGTGTAGTGTCTTAGTGACTGCTCAGTCATGGTCACATCTTGACTTGTTGACCTTTTCAAAGGAATAACGTTTCAGGCTGGTTTTGATTGAACTCTCTGACTCTAACTGATAAAGTAAATAAATAAAGTCTAAACAGTGGGTGGATGGTTATTGCATGGGAGTAAAGCGAGTAAGTACTTTAAAAAAGTAAGTTGATTTTAAAGGCATGTCAGTATTTCTATTATATGATGTGTTTTACCTTACTATAGTTCACACAAAGCTATTTACTTTTGGAGACTATCATTTTAAAGGACATACAGATTAAACAGTAAAAAAACAAAACAAACCCCAAAACGTTTGAATTATTTCCATTTAACACATTTAACGGCAAGTGAAAAAATCCTAAAATTTAATGCAAGACTTTATACAAATAACAGACATTACATACTCTATTTGAAAGATTTTTTGCTGGTTATATTCTGTACATACACGTCACACGGGAGTTTAAAGATTTTTTCTCAGCAATGTATTTGAAAGAGTTTCTACTTTTTTGTTGGCTGTTTTTTGTTTTTTGTCTTTTTAACTACCTAGCCATAATTTGCCTGCTTAAAAACATTAATACCCCAACCCTGAAAGTGCTTGTCCCCTTAACTATTTCATAAGCATCATTTCAGCCAATTACATTTATCCACAAATTCACACAACCGTTATCTTTATTTTCATTGGCTACAATATGCTGCCAGTCACTGACGCAATGGCCTTTCGCCAACCAATGGTAAGGTAGTTTCTTTGTAAAGGATGAGCAACAGGCGACTACCGAGTGGGGCAACAGAAAAGAGTTTATCGTTTGTTATTACACAGCAGTACTTGTCTGAAGCTTTTATGGTTTAGTTTAGCCTAATTTTGAACAAGTGGTAGTTGCCAACGGTAACTGTATATACGTTGTTTCTATAGAGTAACCCGGTTTATTCGAGGTCGTGGCATGGATGAGGTACGGCCTACCAGTGGTGCACAAGCCCACGGGCTGGTGCCGCTGTTTCCTCCTGGGCTGCAGGCTATCTATGGGGAATGTCGGCGACTTTATCCCGAGCAGGCAAACCCGCTTCAAGTAACAGCTATTGTAAAATATTGGTAAGTAACCCATGTTGCTGTTGCTCGTCTGACATGCGTGCGGGCATTATATTTGTACAATATATTTAATCTAATAATGGCTAAATATTAGCCCAGAACTAGCTTAGCTTCCAAGCTAACATTGTAGCTAACCCAACATCCAGAAGCCATACTGTAGTTACTGTTATTCGGAAAGTTTGAGAATGTCTCTTCTAAGCCATACTGGCTTAAATCCAGCTTTTGAAATGTCTCTCACCACGTTTACACGTATAAATGACTTCCATTGTAACCCAGATGTCTTTACATTGGGGTGTCTACTCACAACAATAACAAAACTGTACATGGTTCTCATTCTTTGCTTCTCATAGGCTCGGTGGACCAGATCCGCTAGACTACATCAGTATGTATAGAAACGTAGGCTGTCCAGCTCAGGACGTCCAGGAGCATTGGCACTATGTGAGCTTTGGACTCAGTGACCTGTATGGGGATAACCGTGTTCATGAGTAAGTACTGTGTCACAAATCTTGGTTTTTTTAAACGCCCCTCTGTGTGACCGTTTATTGAATGTGGGAAGTCATTTTGACCCATACAATATTTTAGTTTTCAGCCCTTTACTAAATGTCCCCTCCTGACCAACTGTGAACTCTGAATAGTTCGTTCATCTCAATAAGTATTTGGCTTTTCACAGCCCTCATGCATATACAAATAACACAAAAGTATAAGTGCTGACATTTTGTCAGTCCATTTTCTCATAAAGTTTGTTTGTCAGATTTACAGGGCCAGATGGACCAAGTGGGTTTGGCTTTGAGCTCACTTTTAGACTCAAAAGAGAGGTGGGGGAGACCGCACCTCCAACATGGCCAGCTGAGCTAATGCAAGGTTTGGCTCGCTATGTCTTCCAGTCAGGTAAGGGCACAAAGCAGTTTTGCAATTTATAAAAATGTTTGCATGGATAAAGGTCATATTAAAAGACAATCAAACAAAAGAATTGGAAGAGGTCAAAAACTTTATTGTGGGTAGTTTTGCAGCAAAAATATTTGTAGTAGTGCAGTAGCAAAGGGCTGATACAAGAGACAACCATTCATTTCATGCTAACATTCATGCTTAGGGCACTGCCATGCTGCCATCTTAAACAACAGAAACAAACTATATTAAGTTGTGATAATTCATCAAATTGAATGCCTTTCAGACTAAAAATAAATTTATTTTCATAAATAAATTTTGTTTTATTTTTGTTGATTTAAACATTGTATGGAAAATAACTCAGTACTCAGCAAATGACTGGTTAAGTGGTTAAAAAAATAAATAGATCGTTGTACTGTGATGTCATAATTTTATTTTGACGTGGGTGCTTTCTTTTGGGATATCTTCTCCATTCATAGAGCACCAGGTGTCACTCAAAGAGAATGGGAATAACGTTACTGTTATACTATTCCTTTCACTATTACCATATCTCAAACCAGTGTAGCGTCTGTGGGAGATTTTTAGACTGATGTGTTTCGCCTCTTTCAGACATGCATACCCTTCCATTAATCTGATAGCATCATGTTGGCTTCATATATGAATGTGCACCCTGGTCAGTTCGCCATGAAGATTCAAACTGCAGGCTTACTGCAGATCAAGTTAAGTTTATGTATTGTGGACATGACACAGTCTAAATTGTGAGTTGCATTAACACGCACAAGGTTATGCCTGTGCATGTCGCTGCAGTCAATACCTTTTAGAACTTTCAGCAAAGATCAAAACATACATTTTTGTTGCATTTTTGCTACATTCTATCTAGATGATACATTTCTGGTCAGATCAATGTGCAAGAGTTTGAAATAGCCGCTGGAGCCTTGTACAGTGGACAAAGAGCAAAGATGGCTGGAACTGAACCACCAACCTTTCACTTGCCACTGCACTGTGGGGCTGATATCATGGTTCTCTTATTACTGATCTGAATAAACAGTATCAAGACAGCCACTGAAACAGAAAGGTAAAGTTATTCCCGAAAGAGGGGATAGCTTGTTAAAAGAAATGCATATCATGCCTCTAGCAGTGTTCCAGAGATTTGAAGAATCTACGCAATGGTGCACTGATACTGGTTGGTGGCACATGGTGGCCCAAAATCTGACAGTTTGCTGTTTTGTTTTGTTTTGGTTTTTTTTCCATTTTGCAGCCATCTGTAAATTCTTGGTCATTCACTTAAAAATTTGTAACACAGTGTACTTATTTGTCACACGTTGTTTGTGGTCTAGCAAATGATTTAACTGCAAAGTTTTAATGTGATAACTCTCTATTGGCCAAGCAAAAACATGGTGGTGTGCCAAAGAATGTGTTCTTTGTAAAGGTAGCTTGAAATCCCAGTGATGCATGTAAACAAGCTTAACTAGAGGAGTCTGCTCTAGCTACAACACACATAAATGTGTGTTGTAGCTCTGGGTATTGAAAGGACATCTAATTTCCCTTTTGTTATCTTTTGCTGTTTTTAGTAGGATTGTTTTCACAAGTTACAAACAAGACAGTTGTGGTAGTGTGAATATATGTACTCTGCATGGGTGTATACACTGTTGCTAAGCTCCTTTGAATCCAAAATTTGTGTAAATAATGTAATTCGATAGACAAGAAGGGAGCATGCAGAAAGAGAAGACTTTTTACTCCAGACTCACCTCTACTCAGTCCTTCTCTGCTTTCCAGCTGGGGTCAATTTGTGTGTGGGTGGGCTAGGCCCCTAAGCTAAACGAATGCTGATTCCTGGCCATCTACCCCCCTCTCGTTTCTCCTGAAGCAAGTCTGGCGTGGGCGCGTGTTACCTCGCAAACAGTCAGATTAGCTTCTACGGAAAAGTAGTTTTTATGGTTTTCTTTCCATATTTGGGTCTCATTTTGACTGTTTTTCCTCTTACTCATGCTACCTCTTTTTCTGATCTGCCTCCCCTCTTCTCATGTTGCTGGACCATTCCGTCAATGTTTATGTACAGTCAGATGATGAAATGTAGGATTGTTTGAGCAGCCATGACAGGGTGTCTGCTAGACAAATTATAATCCCATGATTTGTTTTTATTTTAAAAAATAATGTATTTTTTTTTCTCTTCACTCATGCAGAAAACACATTTTGTAGTGGTGACCATGTATCGTGGCACAGTCCACTAGACAACAGTGAATCTCGTATCCAGCATATGTTGCTTACAGAAGACCCACAGATGCAACCGGTTCAGACGCCATTTGGCACAGTGAGTTTTCTCCAGGTGAGTTTTTAATGTCACTTGTCACTAGTGTAATCCACTTGACAGTAGGCTCAAAACGATTCTGTGTTGAGGTAATTAATGTAAGATTTGAGGTATTGCGTTTGTGTCTCTTTGAGTAGGTTTTTGCCTATGCTGGATTATGCAACCTATGTAAAAATTGTGTTGTGAAGTCCTTCAAAAGTCCAACAGCAGAGGATAGCGGTGACTGTAGCTCAGGGGGTAGAGCAGGTCATTTACTAATCAGAAGGTTGGTGGTTCGACTGGCTGTTCCAGTCTGCATGCCAAATATCCTTGGGCAAGATGCTAACCTCAAGTTGCTCTCAGATGCATCGGATTGAAAATGAATGTCTGTGAATGTTAGCTAGAAAGCACTTCCATGTGCTTGTGTGAATGGGTGAATGAGGCATGTTGTATAAAGGGCTTTGAGTGCTCAGGCAGAGTAGAAATGGGCTATATAAGAACCAGTCCATTTACATTTTACATAGCTTAATGTCGATGATGCTGTTCATGGCTCACATAGTTGTTGGCTTAAAAGTGGCAGCAGAGTTTAGGTTGAACAGGAGAAGCGCAGAAATCAAAGATTTAAAAAAAAAAGCCACAGACAGGTGGCTACAATGGATGCTTTTTATTCTTTTGTTTTTTTAGCTGATATAACTGTGTTTTATGGCTGAAGGACCAACAACAAGAGTAGCTTGCAGACCTGTTGTTTGCGACACTGCCCCCTTGTGATGGTAAACGGCTGCAACAGTTGACTGTAGGCAAATGAGGAGAGGAACGCGGTATCAAAAATCCATCTTGAATTGTCAGATGATATTTTGGCATTTATTCAATATTATGTAATGTTACCCAATATTAATAAAATAGGTATGGGGTGTCTTACAACAGTTGGTGTAAAAACCATAAAATATGTGTCTCGTAGATTGTGGGAGTATGTACAGAGGAGCTGCAGGCGGCCCAACAGTGGAATGGACAGGGAATCCTGGAGCTGATGCGTGGAGTCAGAGTGTGAGTAGAACTGTGTAGCAGGTGATCTGGTCAAAGCTAGTTTTACTTTTTATTCTGTTGCTTAGCTTGGATTTACACGTAGGTGTTGATTAGTCAAACCTGCGTGTCATTTTTGTGTAGAACTCTCATGGAAGTCATCATTTGAAGTGGAAAGCATAACTTGACTTAAGCATTACACACATATTTTTTTCACTTTTTAGTGCACTCCATATCTGGCGGATAAAATCGAAATGATTTACCTGCTCAGTCACAGTATTTTTCTCTTGTTTTTCTGTCTTTCCTTTTTTTTACAGTTGCCTGTAAATGGTCAATCAACTTGTAGGAACTGAGTTGAATAGAAAACACCATTATGTGAATGCCACTTTGTGCTCAGTTTGAGTACATTGTGAGCAGCAAGTGAGGAGCATAGTTACTAGTTAATTTATTAACTTGGTGTGTTTAACTTGAAGTTAATGCTGACCTGAACTAATGGTGATGCTTTTCCTGTGCACAGAGCCGGTGGCCCCTGGCTAATCACTGACATGAGGAGAGGAGAGACCATTTTTGAAATTGATCCACAGCTACAAGTAAGCTTTACTCAATTCTGCACCATGTTGCTTTTATACAGTATGACATAAAGAGGCATTTTTATGGTCTTTAATGATTTATTTATTTTGTGTTCTGTTTTTGGAAACATTTGTCATCGAAACTTAAGCATGATCAAAATCTACTGTTTTATATTTCTTTTAACTCTTCTGTAAAGAGTTAAGCTTAGTGTGACTCAAACGAAACCTGTTGCCACGCTATAGAAGATTAGAACAAATAGCACTGTCTTGTGTCCTGTGGCTCTAGAGCAGGGATGTCAAACTCACTGTTGGGTAGACTCTGGCCCCCCAGGCCTTATGTTTGGCACGCCTTATCTACAGAAAGCATACAATAGGGTGTGAGCAGAGAAACTGTGGTACTGTGTCAGGTTGTCAGCAGAGGAGAAGTATTTGAGGGTAGTGCAGGACATTTATGAAGACAATGAGACAGGGGTGAAGTGTGCAGTAGGAGTGATAGATGGGTTCAAGAGACCCACTCTGTTGGTGGAGAGGTAGTGGCCCTAACAAAAAGACAAGGGGCTGAACTGGAGGTAGGAGACCTGAATGATTTGTTGATATTGGAAGCGAAATCTTCTACAAAGCACTTTAAAGGGAACCTTTTCTTCATTGATATTATTGTTTTTGGTTTGTTTTGCTGTCACAAGTTTTATCACCTCTTTTTTGCCTGTAGATATTTATGCATCGTTTTCATTTCTGAAGAAGTTGACGTTGTGTTTTATGTGAGCTTGTATTGACAATTTGTGTATATTTCTTGCCTATCTAAGCAGGAGAGAGTGGACCAGGGTATCGAGACAGAAGGCTCGAACCTGAGTGGGGTCAGCGCCAAGTGTGTGTGGGACGATCTGAGTCGGCCGCCAGAGGATGAGGAGGACAGTCGATCAATCTGCATTGGATCACAGCCACGCAGGCTCTCAGACAAAGGTATGCCAGGTTCCAAAGAAGCGCATACGATAGATACTCAAGCTGAGCAGAAATGCCTAACCTAATGAAATAATACTTGTTTCTGTCTTTGTTTGTGGGCTGACAGACACAGAGCAGATCAGGGAGACTCTGAGAAAAGGACTGGAGTTTAACAGTAAAGCAGCCCTACCACCTATCAACAGCCAGAAACAGAGCCACGAGAGACCGCAGTGAGTGTTCCTCCTACACTCCAGCACTCACAATCTTAACATGGGTTCAGCTCAGCACAAGGGTTGCGCCAGGATAACTCCCTCCCTCTTGTGCTGTGACTCAAATCCCCAGTGACATCTGAACTATCATCATTGTTCTTTCTTAGCTACCAGCATATTATGTTGCTGTGTTGCTATTCTGTTGCTGCTTTTCTGTGGAAGTTTGGGTCTTCTGCTGTATCAGGTAACTGCTTCATGAAAGGAGTTGCGAAATCTGTTTCTGTGCGTGCGCACGTGTGTGTGTGTGCATGTGTGTGCATGTGTGTGCATGTGTGTGCGTGAGCCAAAAAGCTGCCTTTCCCTTCTTAGTTGTTTTCTAACAGACTCATCAGTGAACATACCATTTTCTGCTTCCTCACTGAGATTATTTTCTTCTTCTTTCTGTGTTTATCAGGAGTCGAAAGGACAGTTTGGAGAGTGAGAGCTCAGCAGCTATTGTTCCTCATGAGTTGGTCCGAACACGGCAGTTGGAGAGTGTCCATTTGAAATTCAACCAAGAGTCAGGCACACTGTTGCCCCTCTGCTTGCGGTAAAGCACCATTCTTCTTCTCCTACAACCGCTGGGCAAATTAACCCTTTCTGAATGTATGTGAGACCGAAAGGATACCCCAGATATTTATTTTGAACAGGTGTGGCCGAATATAATGGCATGTAGGACCACTAGTTCCTCGGGGGTGAATGAGGAGGTTTTCTGAAAGGCACCCTCAAATATCAGTTGAAGTTCCTCCCACATGTACTTTGATATCACTTCAAAGTCTGAAGAAAATAACAAGTTAGCTGCTTTTTAGTGGGCCTAGTGTTATCATAAGTGAGCAGAATGTGAAACGGCTTAAAGTCGATATTAATGTTACCTGTAACATCAAAGAAGTGACATTCAGGAATTTAGTATTTGTTAACAGTGGACTGTTGGACGTAGACTCTGATCCTCTAGATTTGTCTAACATGTTTTGGTGTTTTTACATCTATTTCCTAGCTTTTCTTAAACAGAGAAGTCAACGAAGGTTATTAGTGTACATTGACAGAGCAACTGAATCAGTGCTGTCAACACAGCATGTGGAGCATGTCTGGCTCTCCTTCCTGCTCGCCTACACAGCAAGAAGTGTATCAAACAGCAGGAAGAGGATTTAGGACAAAGATAGTACATTAATACGGATTGGCAGATATAAATTCAATGTTAAAGTTACCTCCATATGTGCATAACAGTCACATGGTCTATAAATCCTTACCATTTCAGCCATCTTACATTGAAGAGAAAAAAAATGTTAATCTTAAAATGAGAAAGAGAAGAGAGCCTGCACTTGGTGAAAGGAGTCCGTTATTGACAAAAAGAATGCAGCTATTGCCTCTAACGTGAGTTTTGGAATTCACAGTCCAGTAATATCTGGATTTTGTTTACTTTTTACTGGGGATGTAGGTGACATTTATAGGAATGTGTATAACCAAAGAAAATGCCATTTAAGCGGACTATCCGGTCGAAAGTCTCCTTTGTACCATTTCCCTCTAATGCTGAAGTGACAAATGGCAAACTTGCAATAGCAAACAATAAGATTTCTGATATACTCTGTAACTTGTGGAATTTACAATCCGTCTGGATTTTTTTTTTTTTTTTTGTGGGAGGGGTGCATAGGTGACATTTATAGGAATGTGTGTAACCAAACAAAATGCCAACTGAGCGGACTATCCAATAGGAAGTCTCTTTCCCACCAGTTTCAACCTGCTTTATTTTTAAACTCATTTTTAGGAGAGAACAAGCTTAGAGTTACTGTACAGAGAGAGCTCTGTGTAAAAGGAGGAGAAATGTGTTGAGAACACAGTGTTATGTCCCAGTTATGTGATACCGCAATGAAGGGCGATTATGTCATATTTCCTACAAACTGTCCTCTGTGATATTAATGAAACAAATCTTTTGGATCTTTTTTCTATTCCTCCCATTGAAAACTGCAGAACATAGTGTTTCTCTTAATTTAAATTCATTTAAATAATTAACTGACTTTAAATGTTTACGGTTATTTCTCTGAATTAGAAAGCACTCAGCTCCTCAGCATCGACTAACAGATTTAGTTTAATTCTCGTGGTTATTTCAAGCATTTTGACCTTGATTTATTATCTTCAACAGGTCAGTTCTTTAAGGCTTCCTCTGATGCAAAATGGCAAACTGCCTTTCCTCAGTCACCACAAAAAAATTGTTCAGAAGATAAAAGGTTAAAGCTTATAAATTTTAAACGCTTACTAGCAATTTCTTTATGACATAAGAAATCTTGTTTTATGGCAAACATAAATGAAAACAAACACAACTTATGAGTGTAATCATGTGGTCAGTTCATAATGGATTGTGTTTGATCTTTTACAGGGGGCGGTTGCTCCACGGGAGACACTTCACATATAAAAGTATCAACGGAGACACGGCCATCACTTTTGTGTCTACAGGAGTTGAAGGCGCTTTTGCTACTGAAGAGCATCCCTATGCAGCCCATGGCCCCTGGCTTCAGGTACCCACACGGAAACTCTGACTTCTGGCTGTTGCGTTCCTGTTTAATGAGTTCATTTTCTAAATTCTGTTCTCCTTTCATAGATTTTGTTGACTGAAGAGTTTGTGGAGCAGATGCTCGGGGATTTACAGGAACTCAACACTCGTGATGAGGCAAGCAAAAACCCCTTGCAGGTTACCTTTTACTTTCAGTTTTAGGCACTGTGACTACATGCCTGGTATACCTTGCATGTGTTTTCTCTTTCTGCAGACAAAGTTGCCAAAGGAGTACAGCTGGCCAGAAAAGAAGCTAAAAATCTCTGTTCTACCAGACTCTGTGTTTGATAATCCACTCCAGTGAGACTGACACAGAGACACTTGCTCTTTTGAAAATGCCAAGAAAAAGACGTGTAAACATTTCCAGAGTGGACCATCAGAAACAGCAGACCTCCCTGGACTCTGAGAGACTGTCAGAGCTTATAGATACGTTGTTCCCACTGTGGCTGGCCTCAACTGTTTCACTCAAAAAGATAATCTGAGGGATGAACTAAACATTTCTGACTGTTACCGCATTCTCAGACTAGCACCATTGTTTACAATATCTGTATGAGGCTTTTGAGACTATCAGACCAGCCAGTCCAGATGGTTGGCTTGTTAGAACAATCCTGTTGGTCAAACTGGATGCTGTCAGTCCTCCAGGTAGTTCAAAATATACATCACTAATGTAGTTGAGCATACATCCTGTGATCTCCTGACATGCTGTCTAAAGCAATAACTGAGCAGCAGTTCTCAAAAACACTTCTATTTATTCCGGTGGCCTTCGAAAGGGAAGAAGAATAACCAGTTTAAACATTTTTTATCAGTGTTGTTTTTAAACTGAGCTGATATGTATAGTATTTACAAATGCTGGACATTTTTCTCTGATATGTTTGCGGTCACGCCAAAGTTTTAACCATTTCTGTCTCAAATGTTTCATGTTTCGGGAACACTAGTCTGACAGTTAATCATTATCTCATAGCCTGTTATTAACTGTAACTTTTTAAGTACCTGGCAAATGCTGCAGGTATAACCACCTCGATCACTCCTCTGTGCCAAGATTATAACTCCAGTAATGAGTTAGGTTTTCTCACACAACACCCATGTGTAGTGTCACTGTTGTAGATGTTAATAGACTGTAATCTGTGATCATGGCCTCCTCAAGTGCAGTTTCCAGTGCCTACATATATGTAACATATGATTTGGATCAGTGGACCTGTTTAAAAACGAGTAAACCTCCACAGTGCCTTTCCCTCCAGCCAAAGGGGGGAAAAAATCCCAACATATTTTCCGTGATTGTCAATGCAGCCTGAAGCTCCTGGATTGTTTGGACACATCATTTTGAATCGAGCCTGCTGCATTCACTCCCTTTTTCTGATACTGTTATTTCACTCCATATTCATGCCAAAAAAAGAAGACTACTTTTACTACAGCATTTTCCTACAGAAATGTACTCATAAAACATGATGTTACCGTTTTCTTTTTCTTTTTTTATTCAGAATGACAAATAAAATTTTGATATTTTTTTTTGTACTGAATTTTTTAAGCACTATCTTATTGACTGAACTGGCTGATTGTAATCCCAAGTGCATTAAAGTGTGTATGTATGTATGTATTTACACAAATAAAGCTGGAACACTAATTCAGAAGTACTGTGGAACATTATTTTTGAATTTTTATTTATTATTTTTTTCTATTTTATTGTGATTTCCTGTAACGTGCAAAACAACAGTATTACACTTTTTCTGAAAGTAATTAAGTAAATTTATTATTTATGGCTATGTCTAGGTTTCGACTTTCAGACTCCCAGAAGAGTAAAAAGCTCTGGTGGTCTACTTCAGGTGTGTCAAACGTGGATTGTGGGCCAGAATCAGAACTCCAAAGAGTCCAGTCTGTCCAATTAGGTGCGCTTGAAACTGATATCTTCACTTTGTCGCTAAAATCTCATTCCTGGTTGGGAAGTGCCCGCATTAAAATGCATAGAAAGTATTAAAATCTTAATGCTTATAAAATCTTGTTTTTTCTCATTAGGCAACATGAGGCCCGGAAGCTCAGCTGATTATATCACAAGTAGTCGGGCTGGGGGGCAGCACGGTGGCACGGTGGTTAGCACTGTTGCCTAATTGGACAGACTGGACTCTTTGGAGTTCTGATCTGGCCCCTGAATTCAATTCTTTCTGTGTGGAGTTTGCATGTTCTCCCCGTGTTTGCGTGGGTTGTCTCCGGGTACTCCGGCTTCCTCCCACCGTCCAAAGACATGCAGCTTGTGGGGATAGGTTAATTGGATAATCCAAATTGCCACTAGGAGTGAATGTGAGTGTGAATGGTTGTCTGTCCCTGTGTGTTGGCCCTGCGACAGACTGGCGACCTGTCCAGGGTGTACCCCGCCTTTCGCCCTATGACAGCTGGGATAGGCTCCAGCGCCCCCCGCGACCCTGAAAAGGATAAGCGGAAGCGAATGGATGGATGGATGGATGGATAGTCGGGCTGGGATTCTTACTTCTAAATAAGCTTTACAGTCTGATGTTATTAAAAATATACTTTTAAATAGATTGTTAATATTTGTGCAAACTCTTCTTAAGAAGTCTAACCTCATTAGTCAACCTAGGGCTGCCTCTGGCCCCCACGCTCACTTCATATTACACTTTTACAGGATGTCTGCGTCACTGCATAGTTTTAACACTCATCACTGTACATTTCACAACGCTATGTAAGAAAAAAAAAGACTAAAATTGATTTATTTTATTTTTTTTTTTTACCTAAAAAGAGTGACTAATTTGAAATCTACTCCACATTACCTTCCCATGTTTTCCACTCTTTTCCTCCCCACATGCACCAACCCTGTCACGGGCCCCTGGGGCTGGGGGTGTCGGGCTCTGCTTTGTCCCAGCCAGGGACTCTTCTTCTGCTTCAAAGCATGAAGAGCCACACAAACGCCTCCTGGTCTTTTACAGTCTGTCCGGTAGAGTTTGCTGTGGCCGTTCATTCGCCTTCCTCCTACCGGCTCCTCCCCGCCTGTGTATCAACTCCGTGACGGGTCACGTTATTGGAGGTCGGCAGTCGGTCGGTGTGGAAGCACTGCACTCTCTTCCGACGAGTGACTATCCTGCCTGTACTTACCATAAAATATTACTCAGAAGAGTTGACGGGAAAGCGAAACCAGACGAGAAAACCAAAGGGGGACTCTTATAAAATCCCGGCTTTGAGCGCTGCGACCGACAGAAGGCTGTAATCTGAAGCAAGAGGAGCGAGGATCTCACCGCGGACTGGATGACAAGCTCCACGGTATTATAGGTGCACCGGAGTCTGCCGACGACATGGAAGAGAAATAGTTGGTAACGTTACGCCTTTTCTTTTAAGAATACATCTGTTATGTTTCTGTGGGCTGCTGTAAGAAAAGCCGAGGAGTATTCGCGTAATAAAATGTCAGTGTAACAGTTTATTTGACAAGAGTCACATTTGTTGTTCAGTGTCAAGTTCCCACTCGCTCTCAAAACGCCACAGCTTGTGTCGTCCTGTTCCCCAGCGAAGCCAAACATTACGCTGAAATATGAAGAAATGTAATTTATATATATTTATATATATTTGGTGTTGGGTTTCAGTGTAATGGCACTCTTTTGCTCTGAAAAGCAGGTTGTTACTACTTACTTTAAGCTTCATTTGTTAATTGCTGTGCCACTGTAATGCACTCCTAATAAGCCTGTAACTCAGTGCCCTGTGTGTTGGTTTGGCCTGTTTCCAATCTGTGCCATTTTAGTTGAATATAAGTGCAGTAAAAATGAAACTGTAATAGGCTCATTTTTTTAAAAACCAGTGGTTCATTTAAACCAGTTCTTAAGTCTTTCCTTTGTTTTTTTTTTTTTTTCATCAGTTTGGATTCAGCCGAGGTCATGGATGCAAGCTGGAAAAACTGCTTCGAAGAGGAACTTCTGTGTCCCATTTGCCTGAATGTTTTCGACGAGCCCATCCAGCTGCCGTGCAAGCACAACTTCTGCAAGGGTTGCATCTCTGAGGCTTGGGCCAAAGACACCGCCGCGGTCCGCTGTCCAGAGTGCAACCATGACTACGACCAGAAGCCCACACTGGAGAAGAACTTCAAGCTCGCCAACATAGTGAAGCGCTTCAATGCTTTGAACACTGAGAAAGCCCCCCCTGTGCTGCACTGTGTCCTCTGCAGACGAGGGCCCCCGCTGCCCGTGCGGAAAGTCTGTCTGCGTTGTAAGGAGCCCTGCTGCCAAACTCATATCCAGACGCACCTACAGCAGCCGTGTGCGGCGCCGGGACACCTGTTAGTCGATGCTGAGGAGCTGAGCGCTTGGACCTGTCCCAGTCACGAGGAGTACAGGCTGCTCCACTGTGAGGAAGAGCAGGTGGCTCTGTGTCCGTTCTGCTGCATCTCTCACTGCACTAACCAAAGACACACAGTCTGCGATGTTGATACGCAACGCATACAAATGCAGGTACAAATGCGCACACACACACACATACACACACACTCTCCTACAGGGCAATGAAAAGATTTCATTTGGTGCACACAATCCATGGGTAATTCTTTCAGTTCGCTAGTCTATAAAGGCCTTCTCTCTTTCCCTCCTCTTTAATCTGATGTAAAAGGACTGGACAGGTGAAAGCCACCCCTCTGGGTACATGGATAGCACACAAACACACATATATAGGCATACTTCACACACACACACACACGCTGCTTTTAACCTTGATCATACCACCCACTCTTTACCGCCACGCCTTCCCATTAGCAGCGCTGTGCCCTTCGGATAAGTGCTGTGATGCAATCTGCATCCACCGGAAACGATGACCTATGTGCGGTGAGGGGCGGAAACGCGTGTAGTTTGTTTATGTTAGCTGATCAGTTTCAGGGTTCCAGGGTTGGAATGCTATTTTAGGGACATTTAGCAGGGAGGAAGAGGTGGAAATGAATTGAGAGTAAGAGCAAAATAGATCCTAATCTGGTTACGAATTGGCAACAATTAAATAATGAGCGTGTCTTGGCAGCCTTGACCTCAGGATGCGTAAAGAAACGAGGGCCAGCATGCCATGGCTGCCACCGCTTGTGGGTTTTTCCTCACTTTATTTCTGTTTCTTTGCTTTTCTCAAGACTAACGCAAGTAGCAAGGTGTAAAAACAGCCACCCACACCTTAAACACATTCCTTCCCTTCTCCTCCCTATCTATGGAAGCAATGAGAAGCAGATTTGTTTTACAGTTTGCCCTCTCGTCGTCTTTTTGATACTATTTAGTGAAGGCATTATTCCACTTGGGGAAAGTTACACATATTTCTTTCCAGGGTAAGCTCTAAATCAGTTGACCCTGGTTCAGAGCTATTATTGGGACAAAAGATGTCTGTTCAGCCCTTTCCACAGCTGCTCTCTGTGCACACTCATATGCACACACCCAGCCATCTTTCTGTTCTTTCACAACTGTATTTTCACAGAGCATATTGCACTGTGGAGTCACACTGTCCATCCCTGGACCTTCAGGCATATAATACACAGTGATTTATTGAGAAAAAAAAGTGTTAATAGCAAAAAATGTTGGGCTCCTTGTGTGCTGGGTCATTTGTTAAAGTAATACGAGACCACAGTGTCTTCTCGTCATTATTTGCTGAGAGGTCGTTCTCCTTCGCAGAGCTGTGGTCTATTTTGGTCTTAAATTCCCCGGGCAGCACTCTTGTTGCTTTTGGGATAAACAAAGACACAAAACCGACGTAGCAATGTTTGTATCTTTTAGTTATCTTTGGCTCTCAAAGGAGACTTTTACATTAACCTTTTGCAGACATGCTGGTAATTTCGAGATGAGAAAAGAAGCGTAATATAATAGTAATGTTCTCCCTGGGACAAGCGGAGGAGGAGCCCTCCCACACAACCTCACCTTGGCTTTCTCAGGCACCTCAGCAGGAAACCGTCGCTCATGGAAGCTCTGCTGTTTGAAGCTTCGTGTATCTGGGCTGGAGTGAGTCAGATACCCAGAATGCTGAGGGCAGGCCACTGACATCAGAAGTAGGGAATAGTTGTCAGTTGATTGTGAAAGAGGCTCTCTGTTCATTGAGCCTGAGGCTCCTCATTTAAACATGAGCTTCCTGGCAACCTGTGGGTGTCTGGATGCCTAAATAGGACAGTGGGGAAAGTGATCATTGGCGGGCTTAAGCTTGATAAAGGTAGGCTTTCATGCTGCTACACTGCCCCAGCCCCTCTGTGCTATTTCAAACACACAAGACAAAAAAAAGGAATTGGAGGAAACACGACAAAAAGAGGAAGACAGAGTTGCTGAGTAGAAGCATCAAGACACAGAAAAGCTGCTGCTATAATGTGAAGCCAGCTCACATAAAGCAGCTCACGCACCATTTACGATACTAATAACCCAACAAAGTGCTCTTTCCTGTTTTGTCAATGCAGCATTCACACTGAGCTCGTGTGCACCGTGTTACCAAAGTGATGAATAATACCAGTGCACCGTCTTAAGTTCAAAGGCACTGAGGAGGCAGGACATGAAAAAGTGAAGGAAAGAAGAAACACAGGCAGCCAACTGACACAAGTCCACCAGTTTGCAGGGTAGTGTCAGCTGTTACGGTTACTATCAGGTTGTTTGAAGAGGAGTGTTTAACTAAACTGCCTCTTGTGTAAGCAAGATGTGGTGTTGAGATGGAGTACAGGTGTAGGATGTGTTACAACTGTGCGAAACAGGATTAAAGACTACGCTGCTGATTTTCAACGTAAAGCGCTGCCAATTACACGAGAAGTGTTCGCGCTCAGTGCTAGCTGCATCTGAGAAAAACTCTCAAAACAACATTTCATTAGTGAACATGTAAAATCCACTAACTGAACACATCACAGTGTGCTCGTGGTTTCTATATGTGATCTCATTGTTGGTGCACAAAGCAGAACTTGATATGTTATGGTGAAACCACCAAAAGCTTTAGATAACGACTCTGACAAGTCATTTGGAACATGAACCAACACGAGGCATTAATAATGCTTAAACTGTAAAGTCCTTAATAGAAATGTGCCTCAACTTTAATTGGGAGAATTAAGAAGAATAGTCTTCGAGGTGTGTGGTACGGGGCTTGCTGCAGCCCTTGCTGAGCTTATTGTTGTTCTTTCCATGAATGATATGAAAACCTCTGCAAGTGCAGCTGTTAATTAAATTCACCCGTATGGCTGTATGATATAGGGCTTACTTCAACAGTTCACTTTATTTCTCCACATACACATGCATACACACTCTATAGGTGTCAGTATAACAGCCCATTAAGCTGTACTCATAAAGATGTATTCTTGATTTCACTTGTGGGACCAATTTTTTAAAAACATAGTCAGCACTGCAGGGTGATGCAGCAGTTAATTCACGAACGAAATGCAGTGTTTTTCCTTCTCAGCACTTAAAGCTTCCCTCATCGATAGTTTTATAGCTACCGTGGATCAGAAACTGTGTAATGTTAGAGATGTCGCTGATAGAAATGACTCCGAAGCTCAAGTGTCAGTGGCAGTTCCCTCAGTTCAGCTGAGCTTTTGAGCATCTTTCAGTTAATTGATCCGGTTTTACTTATTTGGGTCACTCCCATCCACTACTTTTCCAGCTGTAGGAGACAGCTGTAGACAGCTTTGAGAAACCAGCTGTCCACTGCCTGCTCAGCATCAAATAGCAGAGTATCTCAGTCACATTAAAGTTTACAAATGTAGAGACTAGCTAACAGTAACAAGCAGTTAGAAGACAAATAGGGGTTGGAGTACACTAAAAACAGCAAAATTGGTGGCTAGTAATATTTTTAAACCTTTATTTAACCAAGAATGAAGTCTCGAGAGTTAGCATGTTTTGGAAGAGTGTCCTGGGCCAGTATAGGCGGCATTAACTTCGGGTGCAGAGCTAAAGCTCCCAGAGAAAAGCTGCACAAGCGCAGGAAGAGCATGTAAACTCCACACACAAGGGCCCTGCCCCAGGTTCAAATCCAGGACCCTCTTGGTTTGAGGCAATAGTGCTAACCACCAGACTACTACGCTGTCCCAAAATGAGTGCCTGGATAGAAATTTTGTCAGTTTTTGTGGCCAGCCTTAAAATATGCTGAAGCAGTAGAAATACCACTTTTGGGTCTTTCCCATGTCAGTGCATTTACTCTCAGCTTCCCAAAATACATGTCATATAATCCACTCTGCTTCCTTTGAGTGTTAGGGGAGATAAACGTATTCCTGCTGTTTCCTAGGTGGACAAATCAGTAGTCTTCTTCACTCAAAAGAACTGTTCTGATAACAAGCATAAGTGAGTTATTATGGTACATTTGGCTACTATTTTATGCCATTTAGAGTCTTTCTTTGTTATTTTGTTGAAAGTGTTCACTGTGGTAAACTATAGTGGCCAGCCTGTGGATGTCCATTAGACAGCACAACGTGAGTGTTGCAAGCAGCTGAAGAGGCCTGTTGCTGTGATACCACAATGTGACTACCCTGAGACTCACTCACTCGAGACCACAGGAATGTCCTCATTCTCCCTATCTCTCTCTCTTTTGGGTGAAACTTTTTTTTCTCCTTTTTCTTTTGGTTTCGCTCTCTTTTTGTATGTCTTTCTCACTCTCTTTCTATCCGTTCTTGGCATGTGCAAGCATTGCCTTTCCTCTCGTCCCCTTTCTCGGGTGCATGCTCATTGGGAGGGAGGGAGGAGACCTCGGCGCTGTGCACACAGACATGACAATCTGTCACTGACACACAGGCCAATGCAAACAATGGGAGCAATGCATGTGGCAAAATGAGAAAGTGCGGGGGGGGTCGTGAGGCACCCCCGCTCCCTACATACACATGAGATTTCACATATGACTACATACACAAGACTTTGTTGCCATGACAGCAGGTTTTCTCTTATTTGGGCACGCTGCCTTTCCAATGCAGAAACAGTTCATTAAAAAGTCTACCTGCCCTCCCCTGTTTCTAGTTAGTTGTCAGTCTGTGACAGCAGATTGATTCCCAGCCTCTGCAGTAAATGGGGAAGGATTATGTTCAGTGGATTTTTTTTTAACTGGCTCTTGGCTCTTGTGTACCCACAGAGGAAGTAAGCTTGTCCCAACAATGGAGCTCATTTGACACAGCAGGGTCAGCGTCAAACTTTGGAGCAGTCAGAGAATGATTTGTGCAGCCATGTTTGCCTTTGCTCTCCGAATGCCTAAATGCATGTTCATGTCGCTGGCAGCTGACTGTGGAGAAAGTTGTCTCGATGCCTCGTGAAAAGCAGCTAGGTATGCTGCGGTCACAGCCGAGGCCCAAGTTTTTCAGAGTTTCTAAATGTATGGGTGTCTTTGTTTTTAATTTTCAGGGCATCTTGTTGTGGTTCGCCTATCTAATCCATCCTATCTGTCATTCCTCCACAGGCCATGCTAATGAGGCAGCAAGACAGACTGGAAGGTCGTGTTCAGAACATCGATGAGCACCTCAACAAGCTGGAGTCAGACAAGACACTGATGAAGGTGCATTTTCAATTCCGAATGTTATGTGAATGTTATCAGCATGGGGGTTTGTGCTATAATTTTGTCTGCTGTAATGAAATTACTCTACCGTTTCTCACTCTTGGGAAATCAAAGGTAAATGTAACTTTAACTATGACTGGCAGGTGCAGCAAAGTGAAAATGGATTTAACAAACGACTTTCCCACTTTCATATTGAACAAGAAAAGCATAGATTCCATAAAATTGTGTGTCTGTTAATAAAAATTGTAGTATCTGTTTGTTAACATCAGTACTTTTAGTCATTTAAAAATGCATTTCTGCGTGTAAACGTGCATACTTGTGTATCCTGTGACCACAGGATGCAGTGTCTGAACTGAAGGAGCGTGCAAGAGCCCAGTATCAGCGGATGCATGCGCTGCTAGAAGCAAACCAGGCTGAAACCATGCAGATGCTGGAGAGCACCTACAACTCGTACGTGAGGAAGAACTCGCAGCAGGTGCTGCAGCTCAACGAGAGGCGCCACGAAGCAGAAAAACTCCTGAGCTCAGTGCAAACATTCTTCCAAAAAGCAGGCAGTTTGAATTTCATGAAGGTACAACAAATCTGCAAATTGTTTTTTCTATTTATCGAACATGAACCTTTATCTCTATGACCCCTTTTCACAATTCTTGCATCTGCATCAGACAGTGATACTTTTGAGGGACATAAAATGATGTTGTGATATGAAAGCATCAGCATAAACACTGATGCATCTTATAATAACTGTTAGTGAGACATTTGAAGGTGTGTGGGAATGACCCATGAAACTTTTGTTTTTTCGTTTCAGAATACAAAACCTTATCAGCTCCTCATGGACAGGTAAGAAGTTATTCTAAGGTATTCATTTCTTTGGACTAACTCAGTGATGTTTTCATGCAAGCTTTTTAGTGCACTGATCATCATCTTTATTCATTGTGAGAAAAACAGCCAAACTATCAAATATGTCCTTGTACAACATTCAACTGTTGCGTTGTTTTCAGTGGAATTAGCTAAATGTAGCTTTAGCGGGTGTACTGGTAATAAAAGCAGGCAAAAAAAAACAACAACTCCAACAGAGGTCAAGCAAGCGAAATATAAGCAAAGGTCAGAGAAAACAGCAGTAGAACAGATAAACCCATGTGTTTCCCCTATGATGTATAAATGGAAAATACTCTGTGATGAATTATTTCAAAAACCTGATCACAAGCAGGAGGGCTTGTCTCCTTGCCACATGTTATTTGCTTGTTTAATGGTGGGACTGGGTGAGCCTCACAGTTTTCTAACATGCTGCAGTGATTTTAACTATTCATTTGGCGATCGTGGCTCAAGAGTTGGGAGTTCGTCTTGTAATCGGAAGGTTGCCGGTTCGAGCCCCGGCTTGGACAGTCTCGGTCGTTGTGTCCTTGGGAAAGACACTTCACCCGTTGCCTACTGGTGGTGGTCAGAAGGCCCGGTGGCGCCAGTGTCCGGCAGCCTTGCCTCTGTCAGTGCGCTCCAGGGTGGCTGTGGCTACAATGTAGCTTGCCATCACCAGTGTGTGAATGGGTGGATGACTGGATATGTAAAGCGCTTTGGGGTCCTTAGGGACTAGTAAAGCGCTATATAAATACAGGCCATTTACCATTTGTCACTCCTGGCCTCAACAACTTTTTTTAGCACTTTGCATAGTGTTTTTAGCAAGTTAAACTTTGACCCTGCACACTACAGCCAATGGATCTACAGTCCCCTGGACAGCATGATTTTGGTGTGGATGTTCAGTCTGAGCTGGATGGGTTCACCTCAGACGTTCACTTGGCTGCAAAGTTTTTCCCGATAGTCTTCTTTCTGCCATATGGTGACATTTATCTTTGGCTGTCGGGGACTTTCAGTATATACTCTTATTCACAACAATTTAGGCCTCATCTTACATCTTCCTAATATGCTAATATTAGCCTAACCATAGCGCTGTAGCTACCTCATGGCTAGCTACAGGTAGCAGGTCAATTGATGGTTTATTCATGTATAGGTTTATTTATGTAAATCACAACAACAGCTGTCTCAAGAAAGTATTCAACAATGAAGGAACCCCCTATTAGTAAGCACTTTGCAACAGTAAGAAGGAAAAACTTCCTTTTAACAGGAAGAAACTTTAGGCAGAACCAGGCTAAGGGAGGGGCAGCCATCTGCTACAAGTGGTTACGACTAAACATTCAAACATCCGTTATTAAGTTTGCAGTTTGTATTATGTCAAGAGGTATAGCATGGCTGTACTTTTTTTTTTCGTACTTCAGTAAAAACATGTTTTCTCATTTGTAGGTGTCAGCTAGTTCACATCTAAAGCTGCATCTACACAGGAAGTGATTAGCACTTAAAGCTGATGGTTGATTGCTAGCAGACATGCCAGGTTCCGGTTGCATAGCTAACCGGCTGATGTATTTACTGAGCTCTCACATGCCAATAACCACCATTCTGTGCAGTAATTGGTAGTGACCTCCCCTCAAAGTAGAAAATTGTTTTATCTTGACTTCACATCACCAGTGGTTAGTCAGTTGAAGTTGACGAACTTTCTAAGGTCTGTGCTCAACATGTCGATTCGCAAATCTTGTGTTGAGGCAGATTAGCTTCTAACTCCGCTAGACCTTATTACTGGGAGAAAAGTCACACTAGTCATTTTATTGTTGAAAGAAGTTGGACTATTTTTAACTTAAGCATTTCAACATGTTATCGTTAGGGGTGAGTCAGTGCTTGTTTGCTTTTGGGAACTGATGGAGCATTTAGACTTGAAAGTCACTGGTTTTCAGACTCAACAAGGGGATATTTCCAAAAAGTTCTTACAATGGCCACTTCAAACTGGGTTTTAAAATGCCCAACCTTTGGCACCAGAACTTTTACAGTCTGTTGTAAAAACAGGTTTGTCTGTTTAGCCAATTTTGTAGCTGTATCAGTTTTAATAATGATTAAACTGGTGCAATGATTACAGTCAAACTTTGCATCCTATTTAATCATGCAGTGAGCTACCAATGGAAATAACCAAGCTAGCTAAGGTAGTGTTGATAACTTCGCAGCACTATCATCTTGTCTAAATTTAATCACAGCCAACTTTAAAAAAGAATATTTATATTTTTTAAATCTCAAAGTGCAGAGTGTCTCTAACAATTCGATACTAATGATTTTTACTGTTGTGTTTCTTTTTACAGGTCAAACTCACATCTGAATAGCATTATCCCTCCAGTCAGAGTGGGCCAGCTCCACTCTCATCATTTGCTGTCCGACCTGTCAACAAAAGAGAAGAACTTGCGAAAAATGCTGGAGGGTAGGATTAAATTACAGAAAAATAACTATAGATGAGTTTTTCAGAGATGTATTATCATTAGAATTAGCACTCATCTCTCTGTCCTACCTCTACTTGTCATTCTCAGAACCGTTCAATGAGTCGCCTCTTCTGGAGATTGTGCAGTCTCACAGCAGCTCTGCTAGCTCCCAGTTGGGGACTAGTTCAGGAATACAGAAGAGGAAATACAGCATGGCGTTCCTGGAGGCTAACCCAGAAAACTCCCAGAATCCTCCACCTTTGCTCTACAGCAGCAAAAAACCCTTCCTGGCCAACCAAGGTCACCGGGCATCATCTGTATATGCCTCTGAAGTCCTCTCACAGAATCCTCACACTGGCCCTGGTCATAGTCGGCTCCTAGATACTTCAGCCCATCACATGGTGGGTCTAGGGTCCAGCTCTAGCCACCACTCAGGAACCATATTCCCATCCTCCCACTTCTCAAGTGTTGGTGCCTCACAACAAGCCGTGTACGAAGGGAGGAAAGTACTGATGTGTACTTGCTGCTCCAGGGCCCCTGCTGCTTGCGCCCGGCCTCCGTACCCAGCGTCGGACACCTTCCCCTCTGTGACCTCTCAGGAGTTTGCCCCACATGCCCCTCTACCTGCAAGTCAGCCACTGCAGCATTTTCCCATGAGGGGACTGATGGAAACATCGCAGACAGCCAGACATGCTGAATTCTATGGGCTGTACGGCCAGTCTTCAACCAAGCATTACGGGACCAAATAATAAACCCGAATCAGCATCCGTTCTGTTTTATTAGATCACGTTTGGCATCAAGAAGTTCCATGTTTGCTTTTTTTTTCTCCTTTCCATTTTGATTCAGAGACGCAACCCCAGATTATATCTCCACACACCTTTATGACAATCACTCTTGACATTTATTTGAAACCATTTGGGGAGAACATGCCCTGTTAACTTGTGTAGCTCTGTTTACTCCCCGAATCACAGTGACAGTACTAATGATCTAATTTGAAAGCATTATTTATTGTCTGTTTCAGTTCGACTGGAAGTGCTAATGTGAATAATGTAGTCTTAAATCCATTCAAACTTAAGAAATGACATATTCTTCAGGGGTCCTGGCATGGGACTCCAGAGACTCCAGTGCCTAAAGAGACTGTTAACACACTTGTATTGTACTTGCAATTTCCTAACTCTTGATTAATTCCTGTTTGCAGCTGAAAGCATGCAGGGAGCCTCTCCATGCACTCCAAAGTCCATGTGGCTTTAGAAAAAAAAAACAAAAACAAAAAAAACACTGGACTGCAACTGTTTTGTTTTTTTCCAGATTCAGGTTTTTCCATTAGTTTTTTTTTTTATAGAAGATTATGAATAAACCAAAATCTTTTGAATAAATAAAAAAGCATATTACATGACCTTTCATTGTATTTTGAGCACTGGTTTTCAAAAGTAATCCACTGGGTATGCTAGTGTGTACTTTAAATCAGGTGACGCGCTGGTTATTTTAAACGCCGTGTCTGATTATAGTTTGAGGTCTATTTGTCCTAAGAAGCAAATTGTGCGATTTGTTTGGGTAAAGAGCTTTTCCAGGGTGACTCACTGAGTTACACATGAAAACAAAAAATAAAGAGAAGGTGTTACAGTGGTACATCCGACCCTGCTGCTGACCAGCAAAGCTTGTAAAACAGAGAGAGGAAAAAAAGACACTGAAAGGCGGAGGAGGTTACAGAGCGGCCCACAGCAGGCCCATTATCTGCCAATTTAGGACAGTTCACTTCCTTGTCAGCATCCTGGTCTCTGGCAAAAATCTCTGTGTCATCCCTCTTTGTCTTGTTATTGGAGCTGGTTGTCAAGTTAGGTCAGAGAACAGGAATAACCAATGAGCAGCACCTTCCCTCTCCTCTCTCCCTTCCTCTATCATTTTCCAGAGCGCGATGCAGAGGAGGAGAGGAGGGTTAGAGCGGAGGATGATATAAGCGCAGAGTTTTAATGAGGATCTACTTATCTGTCACTCATACTCCTTTCATTGTTCCCCTCCCCCATTTAGCGAGATAGCAGGAGCGAGCTTGGGGTGGTGGGGGCAGCAAAGTCAGGGTCGAGGGGGGAGTAGCAATGGTAAGGCACATCACTTATTTATAGGTTATAAAACCTTGCTCCCTCCTATATGGTCCAGTCTGCTTTTAGTTTTTTTAGTTGTTGTTTTTTTGTCTTTGAAATCTGTTTCACTTCCATGATAACTCGGCCTCCCTTTAGCAGCAAATGCACGAGGGAGAGGAGTGAGAGGAGCTGAGGTTTAGTTACAGTGTGGCAATCTGACAATGTGCGTATGTGTGTGTTTGTGTGTAAGCCAATTAGCATTCCCCTTGTTCACTGTCCCTTCTCGCTCTGTGTGTGTGTGTTATTAATAAAACATAAAGCAGATGTTCCAAAGGAGCATTTTATCCATATGATCATTTTTATTTATAGAGCCCTATTAAATCAACGATCCATTCTATAGAGCGGGGTTTGCATGTGCTGTTTTTCTTTTTTTGTTAGGTCTCATAAAAGAATTGGAAATTTTGTTGAATCGTTCTCTCGTGCATTGTGTTGCCCTGTCCTAACTACAGGCACAAACACGGGGCTGGACGAAAAGCCTCTATGGTATGCTTGTTCTTGGTTTGCGTTGCCTTGTGTGCGGGCTCTGTGCAGACGAGTTGAATCCTGTTTTATAAGTGAATGTGTGCTCAGGTGTCGCCACACAATCAGGCGGTTAGTGCGTTGCATCGTATATGTGCATAATTAGGCTTGTGTGAGAGCTCCGCGAGGTCACGTATAGGGTAAAGGCTGATGCGCTGACAGCTGTGCTCTGTTGTGGCAGGTGTGTCGGGGCTGTATATGTATGAGAACAACACGCCCGTGCCTGCAGCAGGACATGAGCCTGCAGTACGTGTGCTCAGTATGCAGGAAACTGTGCAGCTGTTGTTTGTATGCTTTTGCCAGTGACTAGAGATATTGGAGTCAAGGTAGGAACTGTTTCTCTCTTTTTCTCCCCTGACATTTATTACTAATTCTGATCTTCAGGGTCTGTTTACCTATGATATGATCTTGATACTCTGGCAAATGTTTGCAACCTCTAATGCCAGTAATAACTGCAATATTTGCATCACAGCCCGAGCTGAAAGTGAGACAGTGATTTGGAAAGTATTCAGGCACCCTTTTCTGTGTCAAGCCACACTAAACCACACGTTTCAGAGTGGTTAGTGAATGTATTACTGACTAAAAATCATTCATATAAGTAGTGTTCAGTTCTTTATACTTTTTACTTGTCCTTTGGCAATAATTGGAGCTTCTAGGCTACAATCTTTGCACACCTGGCTTAAGATAGTTTATTTTATTCTCTGTGACAGCTCTGTCAAAGTGGATAACAAACGTGTACAAACTGACAAGTTCAGATCTTGCCAAAGATGTTTTAAACGGTTTAATTCTGCTCCACTAGTTACAGTCTGAGACTTGTTTCGAAACCACTTTTCTTTTGGGTGTAATACAGATGTCAGTTTAAGGGATGCCGAAGTGACCTCTGTGATGACGAGTCAAAGAAATCTACAACCTCCCCAGTTTGTCTGGTAAGAGCAAGAGGATTGTGATGACAATAAATCCATGTCAGTAAACATATATCTGTTGATCATTCATTTATTAGAAGGAGGTAGTCTTCCATGAATGTGCATACATAACTTAGTGTTTGTGTGTGTGTGTGGTTTCTGACCCACCCAGGACCAGAGAGAGTCTTTGCTGAGCTTCACAGATACTCCCACTGTAATCCAGAAACACCAGTATAACTGTCCCGAGAAAAGGAAATAGCACAGCAGTTCAGTCATCCCCAGAATGGCTGACCTTCCTCCCCTTGGCTTAAGACTTCCTTGTATTCCCAGCATTTTATTATATGTTTGGGGCTATTCCTCATCATCGATTGGGAGCAGTACAGAGAATAGATGGGGGGATGGATGACCTTTTGAACACTGGGTGACTGTTGTCATGAAAGGCGACTCCCACTCTCCCAAAGCCGATGCACTCTGGCGATGGTATCTTGCAAGACCTACATGCATTTAGCCAGAATCCTTTTCCTCATCCTTCCTGTCGGGCTTTCTGACCCCAGCTGCAAAGAAGACCATCCAACAGCAGTGCCTGTGTCCCACAAACACGATTCTACATGTTTGCTGAGTTTTTATTTTCAGACATCCTTTACATGTGATTTGAGACACATGAAGCAGACTGTTATGTGTCTTTTACTCAGAACTGCTCGCGTCTGGTGGCGGTCAAACTTCCTGCAGGTTCTCCGATCTCTACAGAAAACATCTGAAGTCTTCTTGCAATAAATGCTGAATTCTTGGTCACATACCAGACCAATTAAATATTTACTCAGACATCCTACTTAGTCTGGCTGACTCTAAGAAGAGCCCTGGTCATTCCGTTACTTGGGTGTTTCTCCTAATAACCACTCAAACCTTTATAAATGGATTTAGAACCAGCACCTCAATGCAGTTTCCAGTCATAATGGCTGCTATTGTCTTGCTGTGCAGTGTGAATTGTAGAAGCTTTATATACACAGGTGTGTGCCTTTCTAAACTATGGCTAATCAGTTTGCCAGTTTGCCACAGGTGGACTCCAGCAGAGCTCAAGGACAGTTAAAGTAAACAGGATGCACCTGACCACAATTTGGATTCCCACACAAAGGGTGCAATGACGTTCGTAAAGGAGAAAATGTTCTAAAATGATTTTACGTTATGTTCACAGTGAACACAATGGAGTGTGCAACAGCTGAACAGATCTAGTGAATTTTTTCAGCTGGGTACGGTTTGACTTCCTCTGTTACTCAGACCTTTGATTAGTATTATTGACATAGTCAGAAATGCATTTGCACAGCTTCCAGCTTGTGTAACCGCCCTGCCTGTTCCAGTTCAGCGGTGGATATTAGAGGTGGCTGACATGGATGCATTATGTACTAACTTACAGTATGGCAGAAATGCATTTGTCACACAAAGCTTTAACAGTCCTTCCATTAACACTGACAGGAACATGAACATGCCCAGCTGAATGCATACGGAGCGGCCATTCATCAACCAAGCAGAATTCTAACCTTCATCTGATAAGACCTTTGAAATCTGTGCCAAAACTCTAATCCAGGATAGCAGTGCATACACACACACACACACAAGTGCACACACACAAGTGCACAAACATCAAAGACAAAAATCTGTAGCCAATGTTTATTGATCTGCAGGTCTATTTTTGCTCGGGGAAATCATTCTAACATAAACCAGCCCTCTGTCAAATTTGAGCTGCAGGGAAACAGGCAACATTCATGCAATGCATGTTAGAGTGAAGCAGTGAAAATAAGCAAAGGAAGATGTATAAATGCAGGTAAGCAGAATCAGTGGATGTGCATATATGTGTGTATATTTGTGTTTTTGGCTGTGTATATATGAAGACATGTGAGATCAGTGCTTTTGAACGTGTCAGAGATCTTTCACGGAGACAAGCTGGATTAATTAGAGACAGTATAAAGTGATGTCAGTCGTTGCCATAGGAACTTTGTGCTACACTAGTGACACACTCAAGTGTCAGAGGTGCAAACTATTAAAGTGTCTTTACTCTTGTACTCTTGGAGTGAACCATTGCGGGGGGGTTAAAGGTTGGTTTGGAAATGATCAAAATAAGAACTGTACTGAAATTTTACTTGAATGAAAACTTTTTTTAAAGTCAAACTTGAACATCATTGTTGCAAATGGCAGCATTAAATGTGAGCTTTGTGGATTTCACTTTCAATTTGAGTTTCAGCCAAGTATTTACCAAACAAGCATCAGTTGCACTTTACCGTACATGCTGGTTTCTCAGGAAGACATGCAGTTACCTACTACTTCGTTAGCTATACCTCGCTACTGACGTCTTGCTCCCCTTTTAATAGACAACACATATGAGAGGTGCTTATTGGATGGAGATCTGGTTACAGTGGAGGCAATTTTAGTGAACTCACTGTCATGTTCAAAAAGCCACTTGAGATGATTTAAGCTTTGTCACATGGTGTATTACCTAACTGGAAGCAGCCATCAGAAGATCGATACAGTGTGGTCATAAAAGGGTGGATGCACTGGCAGCAGTAATGCTCAGGTCGGCTGTGGTGTTTAAATTAAGCTCAGTTGTGTGCCCAGAAGACATCCATCACACCATTACACCATGAGCCTTAACCACTGAAGGCAGGATGGATCTGTGCTTTCATGTTGTTTATACCAGATTCTGAACCTATCCTGTGAATATTGCAGCTGAAACCTTGAATCTTGTTCCTGGCTAACAGGAGAAGCACCCAGTGTGGTCTTCTGCTGCTGCTTCACTGATGTTCATCTGCACAGCGTGATTGTAACAAGTGGTTATTTGAATTGCAGTTGCCTTCCTATCAACTCAAACCAGTCTGGCCATTCTCCTCTCACCTCTGACATCAACAAGGCATTTCCCCCCAGAGAATCTTACTATATATCCATTTTTATTTGACAGTGAAATATACTTTAGCTATGTTTTATGTTTTAAGCTATGATCTATGCATATATAACACAACATATGATAAATATATTATATATAATACAGAAAAAACAGAAAAACTCATAAATATAAGGAACTTGATACAGTTTCTGATTTAAATATTTATTCATTATTAGTGTTTGTTTTACAGGAGAATATATTTTAGATAGGATTAGGCTACAGATGTTAGTCATTAATGCCATGTTTACATAGTTCTCACTACAGTGGTTTTGGAAAACAAGCCAAACTGTTTAGCCCTCCTTGGCCTGTTGCTTTGTGTCCTGATTCACAACCCCAAAAAATAATTAACATTTTCTGATAGCATATGGTTCAGATTAGGCCTGGGTTATCATCATAGATGAATGAGCCTTCGTAGGGTTAATAATCGTCCAGTTCATGCAGGATCGGGTCAGAGAAATGGTGAACAGCTGTGGGCTGACAAATGACACTTCCTTCATTACCAGCACAGCTGAACTTTGACCTCTCCGGTCGATGCATGTCAGACATGGTTTGTCCAGGACCTCCAAGTTCAGCAGGGTCTAGAGCTACGATCCAAACTGCACGTTTGCAGGATATAGTCATATTTTAAAGAGTCCTGTTCTGGCAGTGAAGACTGATGCTATGTTGTGTGATCTCTTCATATGCCAGTGGTTCTCAGATGCGTTTTGCATGCCCATCTTCATATGCAGAAAAAAGCTAATAATGCCAAAATAATTAATGTTAAATTTTAGCGAAGTAAATGTCATCACAATAACATTTTTGTCCTTTTTTAAAAAAAAATTTGCCCTATAAAAATCCTTTTCATTAAACTTAGTCAAATTACATATTTAACCTGCTCAGTCCCAACACGTATCAGTGCCTCTTTTCCCCACCCGTGAGGCCCAGCATCATCCACCAGCAGCTTTCTGTTTCGTTAGCTTTCAATGAGCTAATGAAAGAAATTAGTGACTCAGTATCAGTCATTTCTATGGTGAGCTAAGCTTTGGCAAAGATCAAGCTGGATGCTTTCTCCATTGTACTTCATGGTACTTTCCACTCACTGGTGACTAACAATGAATAAAATCACAAATCAACCATGTGGCTTACACATTTACCTGGGAGGAGACAGAAAATCCTCTGGATTTACATCAGGAAGAGCATCTGGCATAAAAAAGAAATCTGTCAAACTAAACATGCAGAGCTACTTGGTGTGGCAACACGGGTGTGGTGATCCCTTGTGAAAGTGTTTCAGTGAAAAAAAATGATGATATACTTCCACTGTCCCTCAAATGTCTGTGATGGTAAGGAGGGTTTCAGCAGTAGATTTGGCCTCCCTGTGTTAGTCAGTATATTGTCACAGACCCAAGCGCTGCTCTGGACACAGCTGTAACCTCTACTTGAAAGTGAGCGTTTAATGCCCCACGCAGATGCTGAACCATAAAACCCTGATAAGCAATAAAAGTGCTGCAAAGGTTCACAAAACTCCCACTCAGCACCGACCAGTTGGATGTGGTTTATGAGTCAGAAAATAAGAAGCAGCACCACCTGCTCCGAGTGAAGGTGACATTAACTAGTTGGAAGACTGTTACACGCTGATTTGCTGTGTGACGCATCACCGAGGTTTTTAAACTGTAGTGGTGTGGAATCTGGTGAATCTTCCCAAAAGGTGTGACACATACACTCATCCAAAATCCAGAGCAGGTAATGTAACGTAGTGTGGGGTTAGTGCATGTGTTGTTTTTTCCCCTCACAGACTAGAGAAAAAGATGGCTTTACTGGTCTGCAGGTAGCAGAAAGCTGCCGTCAAGGGAGCTGCACAGGTGCCCATTTCTCAAGTCACCGTAGTGGCAGCATAGCTTGTGGTGGCGTTAGCCTTTTTCGGACATCTGGCAGTGCTGCTTGTAAGCAATCGCTCCCTCAGCTTTTCTTCTGTGGGACTGCTGCCCATCACTGTGAAGAGATGATCAGTATAGATGTCTGTGTTTAAAAGGATTTTACAATTTCCAACTCACTATAAAAAAAATAAGTTGGCAAAACTTTGGACAGCAGTTTATGTATTTTGCAAGTAACCACTCAGTATGCATGGCTGTGTAGGTTCTCCAGTTCATGGTAGTCTTAAAGGCTTGAAAAAAGAAGGCAAACGGACTTCTTTAAGTGTGTGAAGACATTTCACCTCTCATCCAAGAGGCTTCTTCAATTCTAAAAACAAAAGGTGGAGAGTCTCAGGTATTTAACCCTTAGTGGGGGTTGTCCCTTTGGAGGTGGTTGTTGACCTGCTGTTGATCATGTGTGTCATCACATGAATCAAGGTGTGGAAAAAGGCGTTGGTGATTACCATCACTGGGGGTTAAGTGTGAAACCACTGTGAACCTTGCCCTACTATATAATGTGACCTTTGAGGTCACCTGAGGCTAAGTCTGAATCGGGTTTGAAGTGCGTGGGAAGGGTTCTCAAAGACTGCGTTGTAGGCGGCTGACAGTTGGTGTCCTGAAACACCACCTCTGTTCAATGATGGTCGTTCACAGTAAAGGAGGACATGGATGACCTTTATGTTTTAAGTGCAGGTGTACAGCTGAGCTTCTATGATGAGCCATGTGTTTGTGGGGTGGCTGTCTGGTCTCTCCTGTGTAGCAATCCAAGTACTCTTCACTGCACTGCACAGCATACAGTCTTATTTAGCTTGTATTTGGGAGTTTTTTTCTCGGGATATAGTGTTTATTTCTAAAGATATGGCTGGATTTGAAGGGCATTGGTGGGTCATTCTTGGAGAAAATTCTCATGAGCTTCTCTGGTAAACCTGCTACCTGGGACTCTCCACCTTTTGTTCTTAGAACTGAAGACACCTCTTTTATGAGAGGTGAAACATACTTAAGTCCAGGTACCTTTTCTGTTTAAAGCTCTTAAGAACCACACCCATCTAGTTAGAAAAACTAGATGGGTGTGTTGATGATGTGGCACATGGTATTACAAATCATAGGAACGAAGTAACATCCAGTGGCAAATACCAGGCTGTAAGTGGTTTCAGTTGGATATTTTAACCAGTAAGTCTGTGAGTATTGAATACATTAAAAAAAAAAAAAACAGACATACAAGTTGCCAAATTGGGACTGCAGGTTTTTGCACTCATATTGCATCCTCAGAGGTGCTGCTCGGCTTGATAAAGTGAACAAAGCACGTCCAGCTGACAGTTGAGTCGGGTTCACCAATGATGTCCTTTTCCTCTTGTCTTATCTTTATGCACGCTGACTGACAACTTTTGAATGGACTTTGAATGGTTTACTGGCAAACGACCGTTATCATTCAGATAAACTCTTATACAGTGAAGCATTTTAAGAAACACATTCAAAAGTGCATTATGTGTGATGAGGAAGCTCTCAAAGGCTGTATATTCAGATACATTCTAAGCACAATGGACATCAGTGAGGTTGAGTGAGGTGGCTCTGACCTGCAGGTTCAACAGTTCGCTCCAGCTACCCTGCAAAGATCGTGCCTTTACACAAAAGTACTCTTGCAGATAATATGAAGCTAATTCAGGATGCAAGCTGACTGTATCTGCCTTCATAAAACTTTTACTGTCCTCACTATTTTCCTTCTCACCCTTCAAACACCCCGATCTCTCTATTGTTGGTGGTTTATGGACAACCTGGCGAGTACTGTTGCGCAGGCTAGTTAACTGCAGTTGGACGAATTTTTATGGACCCGGCTTTTTGCTTGTGGTTCTATTTTGTATTTCTCTGCTGCTTGTTTGTTGCTTTTACTTCCTTTCTGCCAAATTGAGTTTTGGATATGATCATTTTGAAAACCTTTTATTACAGTTAAAGAGATATACTTTGGAACTGAATATGCACTGTCCGGCAAAATAAATGCCAACATGTTTCTTTTTACTGGAGAGTGCAGATAAGAGCCTCCCATTAGACTTGAGGTCTAGCTTCCGCTGCCTGAATATTTGGGATTGACCTTTTTTCTTTCTTTCCTGACAGCATTGGGCATATTCCAAGATGACAATGTTGAGATTTATCAGGCTTAAATTGTAAAAGGCTGGATCAGGAAGCTGATCCAGCCTTTTACATCACAATCATCCTTAGTGGAAGTCCCCTGGAGAGAGCTGAACCTGACTACCAAGATCCAACTGTTCAACTCCAGCTATAAAGTCAGTACTGTTCTACGGGGCTGAAACCTGGAAGACAAATAAAACCTCAAAAAGAGAAATCCAGACATTCCTCAACAGCTGTCTCAGGTTACTCCACGTTAGCTGGCCAGACCTAATCAGTAACATCAAACTATGGAAAGGAACCTGTCAACTCTCAGTAGGAAATCAGGAAGAGAAGATGGTGCTGGGTAGGGTATGCTTTACGCCACAGGTGTTGAACTCCAGGCCTCGAGGGCCGGCAAAGAAGATGGGCTACAGCTGGAAAGAATGGCCCAGGACAGAAATCTCTGGAGACCTACCTTTGGCAGCGGTGACGGGCAGTAGTAGTAGTAGGATCGGTAACCATGAGACACAGACTGGACCACAGATGCTGACCACACTGAGAATCTTTAGGATGTGCTAGACAAGACTTTGAGCAGGGGTTCAGCTCTGAGCTAAAGAAGAATATTTCAGATGGCTGTAGTTTCAGGAGCTTTAACAAAGACATTTGAGAAAAAAAACAAACATCTTGATGCATACTCAATCATCCAGGTAAGTAAAGCTCCAAAAGTTGATTCTGTTAATCTGGACGCAGCGTTTTCAGTGGGAGAAATGTTTTGTCACTCATCCAAGTGACTTCTTCAGTCTCAGCCGACTGCTTCTTTTCGGTTTCTCCCACTGAAAATGCTACGTCCAGATGAACAGAATCAACCTTTGGAGAACAACAAAAAAAAAAGCAGCGCTGGCCTAAATTGTACAAATTTTCTGAGCTTTCAGAAAGCAAACCACAAACGGACAAACTGGATTTTATTTATTGTGCTGGGATTTCTCATTTATTTGGACAAAATTGCTTTCTTGTTCTGACTTTAAGTACAAATCTTCACATTTAGGATTGAAACATCACGTAGAAAAACAGTATTCTGATATTACAACTGGCAGGAATCGGGTGACACTCC